AGTCTCAGGAATTACATATGAAAAGGGTTTCAGTTTACGGTCTTAGGAATGAAAAGGGGAAGTTGATCTGAGATGCCTGGGTCTCCCTCTTCAAGGCTACGGGCGCGCACCACCAGGCCGGGCTAATTTTTGTAATTTTAGTCGAGACGGGGTTTCACCTCATTGGTCAGGCTGGTCTCAAACTCTTGGCCTCAAATGACCTGCATGGCTTGGCCTCCCAAAGTGCTGGAATTACCGGTGTGAGCTGCCGTGCTGAGTCATTTTTTTTTTTTTTTTTGACATAGACAAAAAGTAAGAGCAACCTCGGCAAGGACACTCTTACTTTTCTCATGGAAATTTCACCGTCATTTTGAAAAGAGCTCAGGTGCATTTTTATCACAGGCTGAAAGGAAACTCCCTGCTCAGAATTAAACTGTGCAGCGGCTCGTCTTCTCAAAGTCCCCGTGATGGGTGCCGTTGGCTTGAGCCTGTGTTGGCCCTGACCAGCCTCCCTCTGGCAGGAGCTCCTCCATGACATGGGATCCCAGGTCTCCACATGGTCCAGCACTGTGGAGACGCTGCCGTCACGAAGGTCACTCTTGCTGCAGAGCAGGCACCGGGGAGCTTTCTCTGCAAAGGGCAGATCACACATGTTAGGGCCCTGGTGATCTCTCGGCTCTGCTGTTGAAAGCAGCCGTGGGCAAATGAGTGTCACTCAAGGCAGGGGGCTGGGTGGCCTCCGGATGTAGCTCACCATCCCGCTGCGGCTGTTCCCCAGGCAAGCCCCGGTGAGACTTGGATTCTTATCACCAGGAGACCTGCACATGCTTCCCCTGCCCAGCTGCCCTCTATGGAAAGGCCTTCAGCAAGAGAGGCCAGCCCTAAACCAATGGAGGTCACTCTGCCCACCCCTGGGCTCCTCCGGGAATGTGTGGGACCTCCAGACACCCGAGAGCTCTGAGGACCAGGGGAGGGAAGAACGGGAGGAAACTGAGGCACCCTTGGGACTGGCACAGCCGCCTGGGCCCAGCCTCTCCTCACACAGACCAGGATGGCTGAGGCTGGGTGAGATCCCTGCAGGGGCCTTTCCTCCCTCAAATTTATGCGATTTTTACAATAAAAGGAAGAGAAGAAGGACGCATTCTCTCTCATGCCCATGGCTTGATAATATGTTCTTCTAAGCACTGAAGATCCTCAGGTAGTAGGATTCTGGAGCTGCTCTGAAACCCCGCCCGGCATACGTGTCCATTTTCCCAGGGGAGTCCTGGCTCCCTTCTCCTGCCTCCTCACCTTCTTAAACAGGTGTGAGGCTCCAGGTAAAGACGGTGGAGGCCTCATCCTGCTTGCCCAGCTCAGCATTCGGCCATATCCCCCGTGGCGGGTGGAGAGCTGGACCCTGCCTCGCCATAAGCTGCATCTGTGCTGTCTTCTCAAAGGCAGCAGTTCTGGGAGCCGGATGGCTTCACCCAGAAAAGAAAAAAAGGAAGGGCCACGTGGAAGGGTTTTGTGCAAGGAGCCACCGGCCCAGCAACCGGCCCAACCTGGGATGGGCAGGGTCAGCAGGGGACGCGAAGGGGATGGTAAGTGGGTTATGCTTCTAGCCAGACACCGTGCACGGAGCTTGAAAACCCTCTCTTCATCTCGAAAAGCCTGAACTTTGTCCCTAAATAAGGGGACATCATCCATAGAAGGAGAACCGAGAGGAAAGGGCATGACGGCAGCAGAGGTGCCCACTGAGAGTGCTCCTTCGTGCCACGAGCCACCTGACGGTGGGCTGTCCTTTCAAACCCCGCACAGGGCCCTCACCACAGGTCCTCAGAGCCTGCCCTGGCACACAGCGGGCTCCTCACTGGCAGGTCCTCAGAGCCTGCCCTGGCACACAGCAGGCTCCTTACCACGGGTCCTCAGAGCCTGCCCTGGCACACAGCAGGCTCCTCACCGGCAGGACCTCAGAGCCCGCCCTGACACACAGCGGGCTCCTCACCGGCAGGACCTCAGAGCCCGCCCTGACACACAGCGGGCTCCTCACTGGCAGGTCCTCAGAGCCCGCCCTGGCACACAGCAGGCTCCTTCCAGCAGGACCTCAGAGCCCGCCCTGACACACAGCGGGCTCCTCACCGGCAGGACCTCAGAGCCCGCCCTGACACACAGCGGGCTCCTCACTGGCAGGTCCTCAGAGCCCGCCCTGGCACACAGCGGGCTCCTTTGGGAATGGACCTAGGAAAGCCAAGTAGCCCCAGCCTGCAAGATATCAGGGCAGGGCAGCCCCTTATCCTGGCCCCCTCAGGCCGAGTTCCACCTCTTCCGCCTTCCTCATCTCCTGAACCCCCTGCTCCTCAGCCACAGAGAGTGCTCTCCCCACCCTGGTGAGTGAAGGGGTGACAGTGACAGTGGCCACAAGTGTGGCTGGGAGCTTTGTACCAGGAGCTGTCCCGGTGCCTCACATCGGCTAAGTCATGTCATTCTCAGGACAATACATGAGAATAAAAATGGGCAGGGCTGGTAGTACCCCATTTTACAGAAGAGGAAACTGAGGGACGGAGTGATCAGTGCTCATCCCCAAATCATAGACCTGCAGAGTGGTGAAGACAGAACAAAAGCCTAGACAGCCAGAGGCCCTGCTCCCCACACTGCCCTCATTCTAGAAGGCTCTGCAGTAACCCAGTCCCACCCACTGTGGATGAGACCAACAGAGACTGAAGGAGAAGGAGAGGGAGGCAGTGGGGCTGGGGCTGGCTCTGTCGATTTTACCAACTGCTAGATTTTCAGAAAATGTGTGAGATGGTTGATGTTGGGTTTGTAGCTGGAAGTCAGTCATCGGTCGAGGGAGACTTTACGCACAGAAATCAGCTAATGCCAAACCTCAGGACCCCTCCCCACCTTGACAGCAGGAGGGGACACTCTCACCGCTCCTGTGGGCCCCGCGGAGGCTCGGCACTTCAGAGCAAGGTTCGCTCATCCACAAAGCATGGGCAGCAATCCCTAATGCAGGGCTGCGTGAGGTTTGGGACAGTGTGAGTGCAGTCTGTGGCCCAGCGTGACCGAGAGCATGTTCACAAAGTGCAAACCAGCACTGTGCTCATCACCCAGATGCCCCGCAGGCCAGCCGGGTGGGCAGCCAGACACCGCTCTAAAACACTGGCCGGGCCCCTCAAACAGAAACACAGGCTGGGAAGCCTATTTTTCTAGAGGGTGGAGGAAGTGCCACAAGGCTTTTCCACAGACCTACGGAAATCAGTTTTTCCAGCTTCTGGAACTCATTTCCGGGCATGCCAGAAAGGCGGGTTTCATTCCTGGGCTGGCTCTGTGAGACTGCCTTCCTGCCGCTTCCCAGAGGCGAGGAGGTTCCCGGGGCTGGATGCCCAGCAGGGAAGGGACATCCTTCAGCTGCTCCACCAGGAGCCACATGATCGGGGAGGAGACGGTGGGGCCCTCCAAGTACACAGGGACCTGAACCTCCCAAATTCCACTGGGGATGGGCCAGGAGGCCCGTTCGTTGCGGACAGGAGGCTCTGGGTGGCACAGCCTTGAGGAAGTGGCAGAGCACCTCCTCACGTCAGGCCACACCCAGACCTCACCCTGGACAAGCTGTGCCGCACACAAACCTCAAACAGTGACCCGTTCCCCTGCGAGTGTCAGGCCCCCCGCCCCGTCCCACCCCACCTGCGCCTCCGTGTCCTCAGCCCAGCGCCCTCCAGCCGCAGGTGCTGGCGCCGGTTTAGTTGGCTGTTTCTCACATTGGACAGAGACCTCCTCTGTCATCTTGCTGAGGCACAAATCTAAGTCGTGTGCGTTTTAGCAGCTAACCGTTGGGGGAAAAAGTTACTGTTTGTGTTGCCAGCTCATACTGACCACAGAAATTAAACGACGGTCAGTGGGCTAAGACAATAGAGATTTATAGCCAGAAAACAAATGTTTTGTGTAAATATCAAAGTGGAATGCTAAGTATGGTGAGAGCTCACAACAGTGACAGAAACAAGAAAAAGCAATTTATGAAAAGGTTTTATTGTGTGCCCCAGCCAGAATTTATTTTTATTGCTTCATAAGCTTTAGCTTTGTTCCATAAAACCTTTAAGGGTCTGAATGGGTGACTCACGTTTTTCAGTTCTGTGTTATTAAATTTTAAGAGGAAAATGATGTGCAATGATGGAATTTGGAATGGGCAGCAGCTGGTGGATGTTTCAGAATGCTCCCCTCGAGAAGCCTCACCACGGCGCGTCCTTCAGTCCACCTCAGCCACGCTGGCTCCCCACCTCAGCCACGCTCACTCCTGCCCTGACTCCTGTTCCTGAGCCCACATGGCACCTCCTAGATGCCACAAATGTTCCCGGGCAGAGCTGTGCAGCACTAATGAGAGCCTGGCTCGCGTTTGCTGGTGATGACCTGGAGGAGACCCAGGTCCTCGGGGAACTCTCGGGGCTGCAGAGCACGGCTCCTCACAGTGTCCTGGAGATGACAGACTTTCTAAGTGTCAAAGCGCCCTGCAAACACACACGTCACTTCTGGACCCTCTTCGGCCAAGCACCTGCACACCCTGGTCTCACCAATTCCTGCCCCTCACTTCCACCCAAGCTGCGCTCTAGGGAGAACACCTTTTGGTAAGAGCCAGTTCTGAAACAGCCACGCAGACCTCCAGCACGCTCAGTCTTCACAATAGCATAAAATCGACCAGGATGAAGAGAAGGTGGCCGGACCCTCACAGAAGCAGCCCCTGGGGTTCAGGAAGCCGCTGCCCTCCTCTCGGCCCAGGTCCCTGCCCAGCCCCCTCACACCCTTGAGGGAGCAGCTGGAAGCCACGCCACTCCCGTCTGAACTTCCCGAAGCTTTCCCAAATTTATTTCTATCAGACAAACAAGAGCTCTTTTACATTATCAAAAAATACATAGGCATCATAAAATTAAAACTACAAGCCCAGATGTCCTCAGAACGAGCCCCGGGGATGAAGGTGGCCGCCTGCTTACGGGTTTCCCTGGCAGCACCTTGCTTTTAGTTTCTGTCTTGCACCTGCTGCTGCTTGCTAGGAGCCAGGCAGTGACGGTGACTGAGTCCACTGTGCAGCCACAGACACCAAGAAGAACGCCCCAGGTGCATGTCCAACACGTGGCCTGCCCTCACTCATGGTCTGGTCACCAGAACTCCAGGAACCTAACTTCACAGTGCAGGGATCCAGGTGCTGAGGGTCAGCCAGCTGGGGTGTGGGCTCACAGGGTGCTGCCCACAGCTCACACCTGATGGTCCCGGTCCATAACATAGCGTGGCCCCAGGAGGCCTTTGCAACCTCAGACTTGAGTGCAGAAATGCACGCGTGCACTTGTCGCTCTGCGAAGAGGATCCATCACCAACAGAGACTCATCAGAGGCACCCTGCTCCCCACACGGGAGGCCAGAAGTAAGATCCCTTTCCGGATCCACTTAGGAGGAGGCTGCACTCCTCCGGGAACCCCTCATCTGTAGCACGTGAGTAGCCGTGGGGTCTCCAACTCAAAGACTAGCACAGTTCCTGCTTGAGTATTATTTGTAACAGTTTCTTGAGAGCAAAGGACCCTTCCCATAGCACGTGCTGGTCCCACTTCACTTGAAACACAGGCAAGTCCTGGACAATATGCTTTCGTGAGCATCACACGTCGCCCG